AAAGACTAATGGATATTGTACTAGAGCCTGCTCTTTGGAAGTATGCTATGGTCTATATCAATGATGTAAATATATATTTAAAAATATTTGAAGAACATGTCGAATATTTAAAAGCAGTATTCACTTTAATTAAAAATACAAACTTATGAATTAATCCAGAAAAATATCACTTCTGTACAAACGAAATGCAATTTCTTGGATATATAATTGGAATTAATGGCTCAAATCTGATCTACAGAAGGTTACAAACTTGAAAAATTATTTCTATCTAAAAACTTTACACAATTAAGAGCATTCATAGAACTGGTATTCTATTATCATTGATTTATAGAAAATATCACTAAAAAGGCTATACCTTTAAATAAATTATTACAAAAAAATGTAGAATTTATTTGGACTAAAGAGCATAATAAAATATTCAATTATTTGAAACAATATTTAATTACTGCCCTGATATTACAATACCCTAATTATAATGAATCTTTTATTATATTCACTGATGCATCTTATCAAGAACTTGAAGCAATACTATTTCTTGTAAAAGATGGAAAAGAATATGTAATAGCCTATGCTAGTAGAACTTTAACTTTTGCTAAGAAAATTATAGTACTGTTGAATTAGAATATTTAGCAGTAATTCAAACTATTAAATATTTTTGACATTATATATATAGAACAAGATTTACTCTAATCACTGACCACAAAGCACTCTAATGGTTATTAAATTTATCTACAATTAATAACAATAAAAGGATTACAAGATAGCGATTAATTCTACAAGAATATCAATATGATATTAAATATTGTGCTTGTAGCTGGAACAAAAATACTGACTTCTTCTTACACTTATCTGAACATCTAAATACTGACTATAGATGAACAACAAGTATAAGATATTGGTCATGCATCGACAAATAACGTGAAATTTGTTCAACAGGGCAAATGATTGGCTGGCATGTGCCGTGAAGCGGCACGTATCAGCCAATCATTTGTTCAGTTGAACAAATTTCATGTTATTTGTCGATGCATGATCCAATATTGATGTTATTATGCAACTATGATTATGGCTTAAAAAAATCATTAGCCTCATACGTCATTAAAAGTATAAATAGATTAGATGATCGATTAAAAAAAAAAATTTTTTCAAATCGCTTAGAGAGAAAATTCTTATTTGCACTTAATGTGCATTTATTTTTTGTCATTTCTTTACATTTTGAATAAAGTCATATGTTGAGTTCAGATTTTTTACTTTTCTTTTAGAAGTTACAAATCAGTCAAAAGTTAAATTTTTTTTTTTATTTTGGTAGTTTTCTGATTAAGGTTGTTATACGTTGGTTTCATTGGCTTCGCCTTTCACCAGAGGTCTCATCTTTCATCAGGGAATTACACTTTCGCTGCTTTTGACGTACAATATACTGAAGAGAAGTCTGCCATTAGTATTTGGTAGAAAATGCCTAAGCCAACCAAAAAAACTTCTCGTAGTAGCATCACCAAGGTTTGAATTTTAAAATTTTTTTTTTTTTGGAAGGTTATTTAAAAAAGTATACACTGTTGAATTAAACTACTTATATTTTGTAGACTTTTAAGTATATTGAACCGTCAGCAGAAGACTTGAAAGCAATTCACGAGAGTTCTAAAGTACAAGCTACGCACAAGGTGACACAAGTGTGGGTGAAGGTTTTGGAGGAGTTCCATGCTGATGTAGGATATGAGGGGAAAATTGAAGATATTAGTTCAAAGGTGGTCTTAGAGGACCAGTTATGTAAGTTTGTTTGTGCTATGAAACGTAAAAATGGAGAAGAATATCAGACATCTTCAGTTAAAAATTGCATGGCTGCTATCTGGCGCCACCTCAATGAAAAATCGGTTTTGAAAAAACCAGTGAACATTTTGAATACAAAAGTATTTTATGACTTGAACACGGTCATTAATAGAAAGTTGAAAATTCTATCTGTGGCAGGACTAGGTGAACGTAATGGTGCGGACGGTCTAATGATTAACAAAATGGAGCAGATCCTGGTACATCCTACTATGCAACGTACCTCTACCAAAAGTTTATTAAGGCGCATATTTTTTTATACTCCATATTACTTGCTCTACATGGTGACGAGCATCAGGACCTTAAAATCAATAACTTTGTAAAGAGATTTGATGGTGGTATAGATGTTAAGTTATATAGGTCAAAAACAAATCAGAGGGGTTTGAATGATAGTGACGGACAAGCTAAAACAATAAGTTTACCCAACATCAAAATTATTATTGATGATTACGAATTTTATTTCACAAAACGTCTAGCAACCGCTATTACAAATTTTTATTTGAAGCCTTGTCTCCAAATGCTAGTATGTAGTCTTGGAGTTCGAAAGAATTTTCAAATTTCAATTGTAATTTGATCAAAATGTAAGATTTTAATTTTTTAATAAAAAATTTTTTTTTATTATAGTTGATTTCAGTACAAAATGGTTTTATACACAGGCATTACCTGAACATACATTGAAAGGGTACTTTTACTATATTTGTGAAATTACGAATATAACAATCGGTGATAGAATCATCTCTAATCATTCAGGTCGAAAGACCTCCGTTCAAGTATTGAAAGAGTTGGGATATCCTGACTCAGTTGTAATATCTATCACACGCCACAAAACCCAACAGGGTTTAGCATCATACGAATGACCCAAGTCTGTAATGCAACACCAGGAGTTGAATGGATTTTTTAATGCACTAACGTGGTTTCAAAGTCTCCACCACCTGAATCAAGAGATGAAAATAGCAAAATGACCAATCAAATTAAAAATAGTGAAATGACCGATCAGGGTGAAAAAATATATAACGAATTTATATTGGCAAGCAATTATGCATCATTCGATACTGTTGAAGATTTTTTAGCTACTGACTTACCCGAATCTCCTCAAAACGCACTAAGTGAACTCAATCAAAATGTGCAAAAGGAAGGTCAAACGAATCCAGAAAGTGAAATCCAAGTTGTAAAACAGAGAGAAGGTCAAATTAATAAAGTAATTGAAGGTCAAAACCAACAAATGAATAAAGAAGCATTGGAAAAATTCCTTACCGGCAATGTGTTTCATAATTGCACTTTTAATTTCGGGTTACTATAAATAAAAAATTTGCTAA